CGGCGGCGAAGTTCAGCACAGGGTTTATTGACGCCACCAGTACGCGGGTTGTGATGTGTCGTCACCCTGGTAACATGCTTCGCGGGAGTACGTACGATGCCCAAGTTGTGCATGGCGACGACCACCACGAGACGGCTCGTGCGTGTGTGGCGTGGTTTTCTGAAAGGCGGGTCTCATGAGGGTGAAAAAGATGGACCGGTGAAAAAAAGGGGGGGAGGAATGATGCCCTTGGATTATGATCCATCGCTTGGCATTTCTCCCCTACTGCTGTAGTCGACGAAACCGGCCGAGTGAAACTCGGCACGCAGGCATTTACTGCAAGGCAGATGACGCCGCAACAATCCAACGCAACGGCGGAGACATGAAACGAGGGTCCACAATCAGAGGCACCCTTAACACTCTTCCTCCCTGCCACAACACAACATTCTCAACAACCGCAGCCTTTGCCTTCTCCCATCGCATGGAAGAGCACCAAGCCAACACCACCGGGGCCAACTCAAAAAAAGCGAGCAACGACAAATGTGCACAGGAACCCCTTGCACGGTAAAAACCCACCGGCGCCCACAACCATGCCACATTGTAGAGACACGACCACGCACCTCCGACCCTCCAGACTCGTCCCCGTAGAACACGACATCTCCCCCACCGCCCCCACCCCCGCCGCCGCCGGCCTCGGTCGCGGCGGGCAGGTCTGCGGGGTCGAGAAGGAAGTCGCCTTCCAGCTCATGGAGATCCTTGCCGAGGACGGGCTTGGCGTACACGTAGACGCCCAGCACGGCGCGCGGCTGCGACAAAACAAGAGACGGAGAAAACAACGCACGAGCACGCACGCGCGCGTGAGAAGCGGACACGGGAGGAGGGGTGTGTGCTCACGTAAACGCATGCCGTAGTCGTTGACCTCGCATCCCTACAACGCTGAGACGGAGCGATATATATGCCGGGTTGATCGCCGGCCCAGGCTCATGGGAGGAGGGCAGAAAGGACTGTCTAGTGACGCTTGCGAGAGGACAAACACCGGGGAAGAGGGCCGAAAAAAAGAGTGGTGGAGGGCGCGGTCAGCTCTGCTGTCTTTTTTATCGCCGACCGCGGGGGGAGAGGTCGGACCGGGGAGTGCAGCATGTGAAGTGCATCGCCGTGTTGTTCCTTCGCAGACCATACTTCCACCATTGAACAACCAAACCACATCCACCGAAAGCGACTCATGCACCCGTTCGAACCAGACACAACAAAAATAACCAATAACAGCGGTTCGCCAAGCCCTGCCCCCCCGCGGTCGTACCTTGCACTGGTATCCCTCGTGGCACACCATGCAGGTCAATCCGGCCTCCTCCTCGAGGCCCATCATCTCCGACATCCACGCCGGCGTGGCCGCCGCCCGCGCCGCCGCCGCCGCCATTGCTTTCGCCTTCGCCCTCGCCGCCGCCCCGCCGCCGGTACTAGCGGCCGTGGCCGGCGACGACGGCGACGCTCCAGCACCAGAGGGCGGCGACGAGCTGGCATCTCCTGCCACCGCCGCCGCCGCTGCTGCGCCATCGCTCCCCGCCGCCGCAGGCTGCGTTTTCGTCGTTCCCAAGAGCGCACACCGCGGGCAGTTGCGTGAGCGCGGTAATGTTCGGGGCGCAAAAAAAATAACCGACAGTCGAATCACAGAACGTTTCAGACGAGAACGAATGCATGCCGTTGTTCTTTTGCGCTGCATTGGTCGTTTTAACACTCGTTTCTTGTCTACACACAGCACCCGGCAAACAACCGCGATTGAGAGCAAAGCCCCACGTCGGTCCTGGTGAACGGATACATACGCCACACGACCACCAGCCAGCCAGCACAACTCAACACAACACACCGGGGCGGGACCGATACCGACCTCCCAAAACCACCTCCCCGTGCACCACCAACTCACCTCCCCATCCCCGGACCCCGCCCCTGCCGCCGTCGAAACGGCAGAAGACTTCCCCGTGCCCGCGGCGCGGACCCCCATGGCCTTCAGCGCTCGCTCCCTCCGGGCCTGCGCCAGCTTGCGCTTGGCCGCGCGAGTCTCTTCCCTCAGGCGCGTGACCTCGGCGCCGGTGAGAGCGTTGTCTTGGGCCGCCGCCTCCAACAAGGTTTCCGCCAAAAGACCGACCTTTTGGTCGTAAGAAAGGGGTGTCCGTTTAATGGCACCAAAGGGAGGTGGGAGGGGGGCCGTTCGGTGGGGGTGCCGTTGGATGGGAGTGACAATCGAGAAACACCACAAAAAAACAGCGGCAGCGTGTCAACATACTACAGTACAGCCGGCCTGTTTAACAGACACGGTGGGTAACACCCCCCTGAGTGTGACAGTATACTAGCGTGCACGCAACTATATCTTGTGCTGAAAAACATTGCTTGGGCTGGTCAGCTGTCAGCGGTAACGGCTTGTTGTAAGTAAAACTATCGTGACTAATCACCTCCCCCGAGGTCGATGTCCCCTCCATCCAGTGGAGCCGCTCCAGCAGGCCGCGCTCCGCCAGGAAGCCCTGCGCGCCGGCGTGGCCCCTGCACAGACCGGCCAGCATCTTCAACGCCGCCGGAAGCCCGGCCCGCTCGAAGTACGCCTTCCAGTCGCCCCCGCCGCCCCCGCCGCTACCCCCCGACAAAGAAGGCGGAGGGGCGGCTGCCGAGAGGTGAGGGGGGAATGACGGTGCCTCGAGGAGCAAGAACGTCACCGCAGTCTCTAGGAAACCTGCGATAGTGGTGGGGTTGTTTTCAACCGGGAGGCATTCAGGGGGGCGTGGTGTGGTTGGCCAGTGCTCGGCGGATGAGCATCCGCCCGGTTGAAATCGTCAAGACAAGCCAACATCAACACGGCGCGGCCGTCCCTCCGTAACACTGGCGTCCCCGAGAGCCCAGCAACCGGACCAACTCACTCATCGCCGTCAACCAGACACACAGGACAGAACGAGCTGAAACCCCACCCCCATTGACACCTCGCTCCCGTGTCCACTCCCCCCGCCCCCCCCCCCCC